GTGTGTGTGTGTGTAATTTTTGATTATATAAATATAACTCTATTTATATTTATTGATGTACAAGTATGTATACCTATATATATATATGTATATATATAACTATGATTATGATTATGATTATGTATATATATATATATAATAACTATGATTATGATTATGATTATGAATATAAATATGAATGTTATATCAATTCATGTGACACGGTCAAAGTTGGTCTCGAATAGTACATGACAGAATCGGGACGGTTTGGTAAAACGCATAGGATGGTCTTGTCATTTTCTTGATCATGAATCTAATGTTTTCTGTTCCATCAATCGCAGCACTTTCCTAAGAATTGCCAAATCACGAACCGAAATGTCTGAGGCTGCGGTCAAGTCTGCCGTAGCAAATATTGAGCAAAATGGGACAAATATACACGATAAAAGGACCATAGCGGCCCAATTAAAAACCGTTATGGGACTCCGAGGCAGCGACGGACAGCCTGGTAAATTTACTCACCCCGCTGAGGTAGCGGCCATGGACAAGGTGAGCAAACCTCATACGTATATGTTTTTGGCTGTATATATGTTTATATTTCTACATATACGGAGATGTGTGAATACAAATACGTGTGCGAATTTATCTGTGGAAATGGTAAGGTGAGTTTAGTCAGTTGAAAGCAGCGGGTATGCAGAGACTGTGAAGGGGATGTACGACGGTCGCACACACACACTCACATATATATATATATATATATATATATTCTATAAACGTACGCATGTATTACCTTATATATATTTCTTCACCGTATAATGAAAGCAGATTGTAAAAATACCGAGCCTTTTTAGTTTGGTATGTATATGCTAACACATGCCCAACGGAAGACTGTTCATGCACATGGGTGCATGTATAGTACTCAACTAATCACCAAGTGTACCACCTCGTATATACTGTTTGTATATACAGGTGTACATGTGTACATCTGAGTACTTATGGCGTCTAGTGCTCATACTCGCCACTTCCCTTTTCGCAGCCATGCGCATAGCGCTACCGAGTGTCACTAGCAAGTGTTGAAAGGAACGTTGCGCTGTAGTTTATATATATGTATATGTATATATATGCATGTATATATATATATAAATGTATATATATATATATATCTATATATATATATATGTATATGCATGTATATATATATATATATATGAGTGTTATTTTTTTCTATGGATAGACATGCGCGTGCAGAGTCAAACAAATTGTTTAGAATTGCATACGACACCTGCGTACCTACTCAACTCTCGAACACATATCAAGCAAGAATCACAATGAGCGGCAAAATTAATAGCCACCACAACGCCTTTTTCTACATATGCCAAACAGTACATCGGATTATTCTTATACATATTATTATACTTATATTGT